AGTGAGGAAGAATTGATCTGGAAATACATCTTTAATTTATAGTGCAATAGAACAAAGTTAATTTTCACTGCACAGTTACTCTAAGTCTCTGCAGTATCGATATGAAATTGAAAGCAATTTAAATGGCTTCATCGTTTCACTATGTAATTAAGGAGGCAAGAACCCCAAACGCCCACATTTGTCACCTTTCTGTATTACAGCAAGTTCTAGTTCTCTACAACAGAGGGCAGAACACATTCCTCCTGCCACTTTTTCACTAAGCTGTTATTTTAGACTTCAAAGTAGTCGCAAGACTAGACTGTAAGGACAGAGCTATGTAGGACTAGTGTGATAGCTCATGAACCGCCTCCCTCCCCTCTTAGATACTCGTGGCCTTGAGACACCAACAAATCAATTGAAAGGGGGGTGTCCTTAGCCTGGTCTAGGTACAGAGAACCCCCGAAGTCGCAGCCTTGTCAGGCATGCATAACTGAAACTGCCTAATGTTAATCTTCACTGCTCCCTGACATCAAACAACTTCTAATTTTAGCTCTGCTGTTCTATAACCCTACCTAGTTGCCATCCCACCCCCACAACCATATAATAGATCCTTCCTTCAGATAAGTAGGGTGTTGGAACACTGAGAGTTTTTTTCCTCACCCACAGGCACTAGCAGAAAAATGAATTACAGACTTATTTTTAGGTAGAGCCTCTGGCCCTTATTTTCTCTGTTGGTTCCATATAGCAGGTTCTGTGGCTCAGAAATATTCCAATCAACAAATCAGCGCAAGCTAAGCTATCCTAAGAAGGAACGGCAAAACAAAAACAGGAAAATCAGATGAGCAGAGTTTTGTTCAGTATCCCATTTACGGGACATCAAGTTCAGCTACCAGCTTACTTCTGTCTCTGTGAGACTCTTCAGTCGTTTGACTGTCATCTTTCAGAAGAGATCCAAATTAGTATCCATCTATGCTGAATTATGAACTCCCCAAAACTCCTAGCAAGAAAGAATGCTAACAACAAGCAGCACTGCCCAAGATTTGAGGGGAGGGAGAGTCTTGCTGTTGTAGTTTCTGGCTTTCTGAAATGTAAAGCTCAGGGCCTGGCTCCTCATAGTCCCTGAGGATCTATGAGATAACGGTGATGTAAGACTGGAAGCAAAAGTTCTCCCTCGCAATAACATGTCACAATAGAAATATGCATGCAATGATATTAAAATATTACCCTCTGACATAAAGATGACCTATTAAACCAAGATACTAGGCCCCAACGAGACAAACATACGTTGTCATACGATAATAATAACGTACTAGGGGACTGCAGCATCACTTCTGATACCAGGATGTTGTACCACAACAGGATGATGCCGCACTGGTACATCAGGACCTTGCATCATGATACAATACAGTCACGTTTTGATGTCATAAAGCTATGATGGCTATACATTAGAATTCTGCTGTACTGCGGTGTACTGTGACCACCTAATGACTCCACAGCACGCAGCTACGCTGTGATATGGTACCAGATGGTGATGAGATCATTTTGGGCAGAATTAGGTGGCGTACTGCAAAAACGCATGACATCGTATTAGAGATCAGCACGTTGTCTTGTGCCAAAACAAGCTTACACTGAGACTCAGAGGTGGCCAGAGGTTCCCTGATAAAACACACTATGCTATTTTGTGCGCTCTAACAGCACGAAATGAACGGGTGGTCTAAAAACAGGCAAGAGCAAACCCTCTTCCTAACGGTCAGAGCGGGCTGCTCCTGCTGACAGCGTTTGTCCCTGTGCTACTGCCCTTCCTGGTACAGAAAGAAATCATGTGTCTTTCTGAGAAGGGCTCCGTAAGGAAATCTGCATTAACCCCAGCAGTGCCATCTAGAACTGGAATCACCACTTCTGTAGCAAGGACTGAAAGATCTGTTTGCATGCCACGTGTTTGACGTGGTTTTTTTTTTTTTTTTTTAGACAAATACTAACCCTGTAAAGCCACTTCACTGCAAATATTGGAGGCTGTACAACCCACATGAAAGTACCCTAACCAAGTTTGACAAACAGCAAAGAGCTTGGAACTCTGTATTCTATACTTAGATCTGTGCTCCTCTAGAACCGTGCCAATCAGTCCCACAGTGACACGCACATATACTTAGGTGAACAAGGACTTGAAATAACATCCCTAAGTCACCCTTCTGTGTCTGGATATTGCAGCACAATCAAATAAATAAAACTGCCCGTAAGCATCCTAGAGGGTGAACAGGCTAACTACTGCAAAGATCCAAAATGTTGTATACTTTTACTTAATACGGCGAGCAATCAGAATATTTGACTTGTTTCTGTTTGGGATTCAGAGGAAGATGAAGGGGGGATGCTGAAGCAGTAGCCCAAGCAAGGCTTGGTTAGCACTCTCCAAGTGTTTCCAGAAGAGTCGGGAGAACTGATCGGGACCTTTATTTACTGCGCTCCCCACCACAACACACGAAGCCAGGACCGCACAGTGCCCCTCGGACCCCGAGACGGAGAAAACTCAGAGGAAAGAGCGTCACCTACTGAGACACTGCTAGCATTTCATCCGGTAATCATCTTATGTCGCCCATCCAGTTCCTGAATCTGCCAGTCTCACTTGCTCAGCTCTGAAGTCTGCCAGAATTAACAGACCGGCTTCAACTTTAATTGTTGTAAATGCTGTAAGAGAACTGGCTATGCAAAAGCTCTCCAATTACCATGATTAACAAAAACGTCCAGTGTTGCTCATGAATAGGTACAGAAATTAATGCAGTGGGGTGCCATGTTATTGCAGATACACATGATCACAGCATTTATAACACATGCTTTGCTCTCCTGGTAGTACGCTAAGCTATTATGCAACTCATCAGCCCAACTGCATACCATGTAAAGCAGCAAATCACTGCAAGAGTTGGGCTTTTTTCATTAAAAAAAAAAAGAAAAAAATGTACAATATTTTCAAATGCTAGTGGTTATATCATTTGTACAGTCTATGTTACGCATGTTCATGTACACATAAGATTTCAAAAGTGCTCATTGTAATTAAATACATGACAAAATTACAGACATTAGAAAAAGAGATGACCTATTGAGTCATTCCTGGCTCTAGTCCGTCCCCTGGGGCCCAGTTCAAGATGCTTCCTAGTGCTGTGCTGTAGCGCTTTTATATTTTTACACAGAAAAAAAAAATAAAAATAGCGACAATAAATAAAACAACAAATAACTTCACTGTTTTCTCACACTTTACAGGCAAGGATCTCAAAGTACTAAATTCATACTGATGCAAAACGGCACACTTGGGAGAGAGGCTGTTATTTCTATGATTACTCCCTTTTTCATTACAGAGAAAAAGGATTAAGAAGAAGAAACAGGCCTTCACATTGCTCTTGTCATCCACTTTGCAATTTCAATCCAAATTACAAAGTCACATTCCACTATTAACTATGGAACCGTTCCAATCTGATAAAGTTCTGATTAAATCCATTTCATCACAATAATTCAAAGACTGTTTATTCCAGCTAAGTAGTTTTGATATACTAGAGATTTAAAATAGTTTTGATATACTCAAGATTTTATACAAATCTTTCTTGGCCAAGTTCACATTAGAAAGATATATATAATTGCATCCATACATATTACATATGTATGTATTTACCTATATATAATGTACAAACCTGACCAACAAAAATATTTACATGCAAACATTTCAAATACACACACAGGTTTGTTGACTGACTTTAACCCACACGACATTTTCTTCCACTGCCCATTTGTCCAAACCTGCAGAGTTTACCCCCTAAGCCCCCAGGAATGATTAAGGAATTAATGAACACTTCGGTACCCTCCAGGAAGCTGTCAGACCACTCAACTCCTAACTCTAATGTGGTATTACAGAAACATGCCAATAAGGAGCATCCCCCAAAGCAGCTATTTAAAGGACAAGCGGAGCAGGAGCCATTCCACGCACACAGAATTCTAAACGTTTTCTGCACCTTTCTTCAGAAAAAAAAAAAAAAAAAAAAAAAAAAAAAAAAACGCACATGTGTATTTTCTCTGTGTGCAAACAGATACCGAGTCCAGACGCTCAGGTGTGCGGGTGCTGCGTGCGTGCACACACAGATGCAAATTCATGCACAACCATAGCGAAAGCCGGGAAGAGGAGGAGGAGGAGGAGAAGGGGTGGCGGCAGCAGGGAGGAAGATGCAGCCAGTCCGGAGGGAGGCTCGCGGCATCGCGGTCCCGATGCAGAGCTGCCCGGACAGGAACGGCCCGTCGCCGCATCTTCTGCCGGGGACTTACTCGCCCGGTGGCTCCCCGCCAGCCCCCCCGGGCGCTGGCCCCGGTAGCCCGCGGGGATGTCCCCCCCCCCCCGGCGGGGCTGCAGCGGCCCCAGCTTTGCAGCGCAGGCACCGGCCAACTTAGCGGAGCGCATCCCCTTCCCCCGCGGGGCCGGGAAGGAGAAAGATTTGGGGAAAAGGGGGGAGGGGGGCTGGGGATGATGGCCTCGCCCTCCTCTCCCCAGCGCTCTGCTTACCAGGCGAGCTTGAACCCTTTCATTAGTACAGTCACGATAATCCGATGCCCGTGTCCTTGTCTGCCCACTGACAGCTCCAGAGGTCCCAGGACATATTGGAGGAGACCCGGCCGCCGAGCGTCCCCCGGGGAGCGCTGAGCCCCATGCACAGACCCCCCCCACACACCCCCCAACGCTCCCCCCCCCCCAGAGCGGCACCGGGCTCCCCGCACCGCCGAGGGCTGAGCCGCCCCGCTCTCTGCTGAGCATGTGCAGCACCGGCAGGACAGCGCGCCACGGCCTCGGGGCCTGCCCCCCGCACCGCACCGCACCGCTCCGCACCGCCCCGCGGGGGGCGGCCCCGGCCCCCCCCCCCCCCCCCGGCAGCGCGGCTGCCTGCCGCAAGGAGCCGGGGAAAGGGGGGGGGGGGGGGGGTCCTAACTCCTCTGGGGGTCCCAGCCCCCCCCCCCCCCCGGGGGGGTGTAAATTAACCCACCGCTCCGGCTGCAGAGCGCGAATAACGCTGAGTAACCATCGCCGCGGGAAGCGCTGAATGGAAACGGAAATTTTTCAGGGAGGCAGGAGGCAAGTTCCTGCACTGGCACTGACGCAGCGGGCACGGTGAGTAGCTTCTGTTTATGCCCCCCCCCCCCCCCCACCCGCCACCAGCAGCCGCCCCAGCACAAGAAGTGGAAGGGGGGGGGGGGCGGCGTGTAGCATTACAGATCAGATGAGAGTCAAGACCTGTGACCCCCACACCATATAATAAAAATCTTCGGCAGTGGTGGGGCAGGGGTAAGGCCTAACCAAAACTTCCAAAACAGTGCTTAAAGGGGGCAACAGGCAACCGGGGAGGGACTCTCTGTGAGGGGGTACGGGGGTAGGACAAGAGGTGACGGTTTTAAACCAACAGCAGGTGGATTTACATTAGATCTAGGAGAAATTCTTTCCTGTGAGAGGGATAAGATAGGTGCACAGGGTGCCCAGAGAAGCTGTGGCTGCCCCCCTCCCTGGAAGGGTTTAAGGCCAGGTTGGACCCTGGGCTGGGGGAAGGGGTCCCTGCCCGGGGAGCACATGAGCTGGAAAGGTCCCTGCCAACCCAGACCTGTCTGTGATTTTATGAAAAGGGGGAAGAAGCAGCAGTTATTGCATCACTCCCCTTGTTTCCTGCAATACACTATACTTTCCCTGGCAATTCTTCTATTTATCTTGCAGCATCTAAACAGAGCTGACTGCCCCAGTGCCCAGGCAGACCAATGGTGAGGGAAGGTGGCAGTGTATTTCAAATAACCTAGAGTTTAACTAGTGCTTAGTAAAGGATCATCTAAAATAGTTCAAAAAATGAAGCTTAGGAAGAGCAAAAGATGAACACCCACGCACTCTCACTGCATACAGAGAGCTCTAAACATCTTTGGTCTTGGGAAAGAAAGTGTCTTGGTTATAAACCCTACAAAAATTCAACAATTTCAAGAGTGGTAAAAGAAAGGGAGTATATTTATATAAAATATACTATCAGAGAGGGTTTCTTAATGCTATCTGTCATTCTTTTGCAGCCAAACTCAAGGTCCATGCAGACTGATACCACACACCCCTTTCCTAATGACTGCAGTTGATGTCTCCAAAAATCTTGATGGGTAAAAAATCACCATTTCCATTCTGTTCACTTCTGGGCAGACAAGGGGGTGTTGGGGGTACTAACTCAAAGTCTCTCTCCTGATTTACAAAGCTTTCTGTGAAAATTGTCCTCATTGCCCAAGGAAACATTGAGATGGTGATGCCCACATTCCCTTTGGGAAGTAACAAACACATGCTTCTCTATTTTCATATTTTAATAAAGACACCGGCTCTTTTTTCTGATTCTCTTAAATCTTGAACAGATGGCCAGAAGCAAAGTTCTAGTTCTGAACTCAGGAAGAAGTTGCTGTCATAGGCCTTTGGTCATTCCAGGACACGTGAAAGGAAACAGGATCATGGCAGTGGGGCTGAAGATTCCAAAACTGCGCAAAACAACACTGAAAGGTCTTTTTGGGGAATTAAGTCACAAAGGGAAGACTCGGGTCACTGCTAACTCCCTCCAAATAGCTTCCCAAACACTTGTGACGTGTTGCACGCTTTGCTTCATTACTAAATACTACCATGCTCAGGGTGGCTGCTGCAGAAGGAAGCAACTGCCATGAAACTGGATCCTGTGTAGAACTGTCATCCACTCCCTCTGGGAAGGAAGGGGATGGAGAGTACCCTGAAGGAGCACCCCATGCTAGGCAGAGACACTTGCAACACCTGCTTTGAAAATTGCTTCCAACATGAACTTTGCAACATGCCTTTTTGTTTATTTCCAGACAGTTTTTAATTTTTCCATAAAGCTGGGCACACGCATTTCCACATGACAAACAGTACGGGACAAACACATTCTAATTTTACACCACATAATGCAAGATTCAGCCCTTATTAGGCCCAACCTGTAGCAGATGCCTGGCTTGGACTCTGCTTTTCTCCATGAGATGCTCTGCATCTGTGGCCTGCAGGTTGTCAAGGAGGGAAGCAAATCACATTGCCGTAAAATGGGTCAGGAGACCTGCAAGCTTGGCAAATCTGGGACAGGCTAATGCTGCAGAGTCACATGTTTAGAAATCAAAGCTCAGGCAAGAAAGGTATTAAGAGATAAGCAGTCGTGTACTTTTTTTTTAAATAACGTGAGGGTTGGGAAATTATCAAAGGAGATAGACCACTTAGAAGAAGAAGAAAGTGTCTGTTTAAGCATGCAGCTGGCAGGCTCAGCCACAATCCACCTGGGATCTGCTCTCTGAAATCCTTGCAGCAGGAGCCTTGGTGAAGGGACTGTGGGCCACCCACCATCTTCAGGGAATCCCAAGCAGGTGACCCCACTGTCACTGCTATTTACAGTCTCAATTCCACATTCACTTGACTGGTCCACCTGTGTCAGATAATGCTGCGTGAACAAGCCCTTTCCTTTTTCTCCATCCTCTGCACATAACCACTCGGGGCGGGGGGAAATTATATTAAAATTTAAATAAGGTAACAAAAGAGCATATGTAGATATCTAAGAGATAGGCTACGCACAGCCACCCTGTCCACCTCCGCAGTGCTAAGAATACTTAGAAGTCACGCGCAAGTTGAGATCCAGATAAATTATCTACCTACTCCATCCTGAGCATCCATCCCACAAAATGGGAAAATGGGGAAATAGAAAAAAAGCAGAACTGTGGTTTGAGAGATCCAAATGCATTTCTGGCTCTGCTACAGACCCCTCTCTGTTTTGAAAATGGGTAAACCCTATAATCCACGTCTCTCCTCACTCACCTGTGGAACTACTTGTTGTAAGGAGACATTCATTCCATGGTTGTAATAAACATCAATGATATTGTTTTGGACTGTATAAGTGTCAATGTAAGAGAGAAATGATCTTTGATGATCATGTTTTGCATGTAAAAGCTCTCCCAAGCCATTATTATTTTGGTAAAAATTGGTTTATTTTTCCATATTAATAGTAAAAAACAGCAAAAATAATAATAAAAGCCTAAACATTGGTTTTCATTTTTGTTTGTTTCCATCTTTCATGAAAACAAGAATAGTAAGTCGAACACAGTGAAAGACGAGAGCAGGTGTCTTTTTGGTCAACATTAGCAATCACAAAATCCTGGAAACACCACATTATTGTCTCCTTTATCTCTTAAGTCTCATGGCCCCACCTCCTTTCCCTAACCAAAATCTCCAAATCCAACAGCAGCAATGAAGCATACGGAGGTGCCTTCCACTTGGGCTGAGAAAGGCAGTAATCTCCAAAGTACAGATGCTGGATCAGAGTACCAGGATCATCAGCCAAGTTCAGAGCGCCTACAAGTTCTGTAACTCACCTCATCGGCCACAGTCCCTCCCCCTCTCCAGGAGGCTGCTGTGATGGCTTCCCTGGCACTCTGACTGTCCCCTCTGCACCCATATCACAACTGCATCTTTTGCCTCTTCCTAAGCACCATGCTTCTCTCTACGCCTGCTCCTACTTCCTTCCCCTCTCCTTTCCTTCAGGATTTTATGCGCCTCCTCCATCAGCTATTCCTTAACACTTACTGCCTTCACATCTTTCAGTGCTGTGTTCTGGTTCTCAGCTCCCTTTCATATCTCAGTCATCAGATTACCTTTCACCCTCCTCTTCTCAACCCAAGATTTTTTTCCTAATTTCTTTCCGTACCAGTCTCCTTTCTTTGTATTCATTTGTATCTGACCTATTTAGAGAGTCATATGTATATTTTCACCAACAGCCAGCCTTCATACAGGATGCTAGATCAGATGTTTGTAATTTTCTCTCCTAGCCATAAAATCTAGTCAAAGAATTTGCTTATTGCAATAGAATTTTGATTGTTTGGGAAAGGAACTTCCTTTTTTAATTGAAAAATATTGAGTACATATTTATAAAAAAAAAATAACAGTAAGACAAGTTTATATGATGTCTGTTGTGCCACCTCATCCCTTGTCCTTCCCCCCAGGCAAAATCCTTATAAACTTTAAAAAGGATTAGACAAGATAATTTGGATCCTGGCCTACGGCCAGTAACATTCTGAGTACTTCTGGTCCAGAGCAAGAATACCATGAATACAGCCTCCCTTGTGGCTTCTGTTGCTTCCACCACCAGTAGGGATGAGGAAGTCAAACAGCACACACAAACGCTAAAAACAGCAACAAAGTAAAAACCATGCAGAACTTTCTCAAGCTGAAGAAAGACTTGGAGATTCTGAGTAGCAGGAAAAAAAAGGAGTCAGGAAAAAAGACCGGATGTTTTGCTGACCTGTAACTATAAACTGCCAAGGCCACATGAATGAGAAAAAAGTTAGGGCTATAATACACAAAACTGGAGTTACTTTTTTTCTGACCTCCAACATAGATGAAAGGAACACTAAATGGTACTGTCCAGATGAGACAGTGCTTTACATGCCCTCTGCACAGGCAAGAACATCTGTACAAATTGACAGACAGTAATGAATTAGGTCTTGGTGCTCTCACATTCTAGTGAGGTGGCCAGAAACAGGCAATTCATATGCAGCATTTTGCTGCCTCCCTTGTCAGAGCCTGGAAGAAAGCTGGAAGCACAGAGGTAACTACAGAAATTAAGTCATACAACAGTATCTCATATTTAGCACTATTTTACTTACATACCAGCTATTTTGGGTTACCCTGTTAGCCCTTCCCTGTTGCACATACTTCTCCGAGAAATCCCAGTCTGAGCAAGTGCTATCTAATAACACCAATGAAACAGTCTCTAAGCAAAAGCTCTCTGGTACTGTAAATAGACATCTCTCCTGGCTTCGCTCATCATTCCTGTTACAGCTCATAAGAACACATTTCCTTCAAGATGGAACAAGTAAATCAGGTGCCTAAATACCTCCCCACCACCACCCTGAAAGTTCTGAGGGCTTCCCATGTAGGTACTTGCAGTACAGAGAAAAAGCACCTTTCCCTATCAGGGGAATGAAAGGCAACTCACTGATTTACGTTCCTCATTTCCACTGGTTGATTACCTGGAAAGTGATTCATGCTTTCCCAGGAAGCATTCTAGCTTCACTTTTTTTTCCCCTAACAGATTAACTACTTTTCCTCTTGGCACTCAGCAAGGAGCACGTACAAAACTATCACAGTTCCTACTTTTAGCAGGGCACCATATAAGCGAAGCTGCAAAATGACACAGCACCATGTCACAACCCCAAAGCAAAGTGCTCCGTAGCCTACAAGGGACAGTTTTCTGACTCCGCCAGTAGTTCTGAAAAGCATCGAGATGAAGGTAAATGATTGACTGCCCTGGAATTAAAACCACAGGCTACAAAACAGTAAAAGCTACACTATTTTTAACGTGCTAAATATGTGACCATTCTTTGCCATGTCAGGAAATACCAGTTCTTGATACCCTGAAAGGTGCCCCATCAGAAAAGGAAACAACAGTACAACACAATGGAGAAGAGCCATGAAAGTAACATCCTGATATTGCATCCCAAGGCCAGTTTTGGCATCATCTCAGGCTGAGAAAGCAAATCTGTTAAATCTTCTCCAAAGTCCTTAACTAGTCCAGGGCCCAGGCTAACCCCAGCAGAAATAAAGCAAAATGAATAGCACCCCTTGGAGGCTCCAAACCAACCAGAACACTGGTAACTGACCCCAACTCAGAAAAGAAAACAGAACACGGAAGAACAAATTGGGTTTCAAAGAACAGGGGACTAAACATCATCACTTGTCATGGCGTAAGTCCAACTAAACCTCTATACATTCCAGTAATATTTACATCATAACTAATTTGCATGATGTAGCTGTTTTAGAAGGTTCAAACTAGACTCAATTTTTCACTTAGGATTTTCCTGAAAAGATAATTAGGTTTTCAGTACATTCACACTAAGATGGTGCTTTAACACTGTAGATCACTTTTTCCTTTAATTAAAACCAAGCAACTGTAAACAGGTACAGATAAAAAGAATTTTAAAGTGACTTTGTTGGGTTTGTCTTTGAAAAGGTCGGATTTTCAACACAGAAAAACTGGAGTCCCCAAAATGCCACAACACCTATAATTGAAATGGAGTGTTTATTTTCCATCGACTCCAGTGCCCCTGGTCCTTCAGCATACTCGGTGGTAATTTTTTTTCAAGCACTACAGCTGTCACTGGGTTTGCAGTGACAAGCATTTGAAGCTTGAGCAAACGTGATAGTGAGAATGATTTCACCTTTATAAAGTAACAACTATCCAGAAGTACTTTGTGTAATTTATTGACAAACACTAAAAACTCAAAACCTGCACTGACATGCAAGCCAGTCCCAAGGTAAAACAGGGCAGCAGTTCACCTGTGTGACCCAGGCTTCTGGGAAGCAGAATAGAAAAGTTTAGAGTATTTGACCAAAACAAATGTGAAAAAGGAAGACTCAAACTCAACTTGAGTTCTAGCTGAGACACAAGAATAAACTCTACAATCTATTAACAGTACCACAGGGTGTTCTTTAACCCTGGACTTCTACCCCCAGGTAGAACAGTTCCGTCCTGGAACACAGGTGCCACATGGCCATGCTAGAGCATCTAGGTCAGCCCAAACAAAAAAGCAGTTTTATAACTAACAATTCTATTTCCCACTCTTTCCAAGCTATGGAGCTCTTCCACCATGCTTAATTTCAGATCCTGCTGAGATAAAAGCACACCACACATTTTGCAGACACATTCCCTGCACTTCAACCTTGTTCTGATGCCAAGGAAAGTCACACTAGGGGAAGGCTCATACTAGAAAGTAAACCGCTTGCTGCAAAGATATAGCAAGTGGCCCCTGCCATGAGATACAACTATTCAATGGTGAGAGAGTCTTGTGCTTCCCAGGTCTCAGCAAACCATGCTGAAAAGCACAGTATATATCTCCGAGTCCTACCTCACAAACCCATCTTGATCCACCCAGCTCCGTTCCCACAGATTTCCAGTCAGCCAGACCACAGGAAAGCAGAACCTACAACCTGGTAAAAGCAAGCAGCCCAAGCAACAGAGAAGCCTAACAGAAAAAGGGCGGATGCATCTATAAACTCGAATTACTTTCTCACTCGGCAGTCCCCCGAGAGCCTTTCCAAAAAAAAAAAAAAAAAAAAAAAAAAAAAAAAAAAAAATATATATATATATATATATATAAAAAAAAAATGCTGCCAGAAGGCATTTCTACTCACACAACCGTCCCCGGCAGTGGGAAAGCTGCCCCTAAAGCACCCTCTAGTGTCACACTCTCATACAGCAGCATCCCGGCTCCCTCCTCGGCTTCACGGACTGCCACTGACAGCAGCGCAGAGCCCCCCCCCATTTCCCTCCTACCCACCCCGTCCTTCACCTAGAGCATCAATATCTCAAGATTTTCTCAACTCTAACAATTACAGCAACGCAGGGAAACTGCGGCCACAATGTAACTTCCTCCTCCCAGAACCCAAATCCCAACATCAACCCCAGCGCTACCACCGCTCCCAACTTCAGGGGAAAGTAAAACGGTTGAAACACAAAGTAAGAAGTTGCCAAGCGAAACCACTTACGCACAGTGAGGCCGGCAGCATTTCCATCCTACCTTTGCTGTCGCCATATCAGACGTCTCCATGTTTTCTGCTTGGCCTATCAGTAAACAAGAGCATCGAAGGAAAAGGGAGGGAAGAGAAAGGGAAAGTCAAAAGAAGATGAAGAGAAGACAAACAACTTGACAGAAGGATGAAAACAATAAGAAAGTCACTTAAGAGCTAGTCCCAAGTTTCCCCTCCTGCACCCAGAGATGGGCAAAAAAAGCATCTCAAGCAAATGGTCCCAGTTTAGATACTTGGGTGGAATCTGGCACAAGACCTGAGTCATTGCCACCACCCCACCCCCCAACTCCTCCCCCCTGCCACCACCCAAAGGTCTAGCAAGATGCTCAGGAAGAGAGAGGACCCTCCTCCCAGCTTCCTTTGGAAGTCTGAGCTGCTGCCGGGAGCAGGCAAGCAACCCATCTCCTGGATGTGGTGTTCTTTCTCCCTCTTGCTCTACAAGAAGAGAGAGCAACACAACCACCCCC